GCTGCCTCCAGGACCCTGCTGACCTTTCCATACAGTTCTTCTCCCAGCACCTTCACATCCACAGCCCTGGGTCCTTCAGCTTCTCAAGGCTCTCAGATGATATACCTACAGAAAACTTCACCAAATGACCCTCAAACCCACAGCCACACATCAGCCTCACCCTCAGTAAGATCCAGACCTGTGGGTTCTTCTCTCCTGAGACCCCAAACTTCACAATGTTAGAGTCCCTTCTTACTTTAAGACCATAAATCTAAAGCCCAGTTGCTCCTCTACAAACATGTTAAAAGTTTTAGTTCTGGAATTTATCAACTGCTCCCTCTGAATCCACAGCCCAGGGGTACCCCTCGTGAGGTGCCACCGATTCAGTCTGCCCTGGTGTTCTGCTCCGCCTATCTTGATGGCTCTGTCCCAAGGTAGGCAGGACACAGGGTGGAAGGTGTAGTTGGAAGGTAAATGAGACAGTTACATAATCAGGACCAGAGTCCGCCCTCCTCTACCTCGTAGTATAAAGACGAACTATCTCAGCCATCACCATTGGACTGTAACTCTCTCTGCCACCATGCTGGTCTCGGGGCTGCTTCTGGTGGCTCTGCTGGCCACCCTGACTGTATTGGTCTTGATGTCTGTTTGGCGACAGAGGAAGCTCTGGGGAAAGCTGCCTCCTGGACCCACCCCATTGCCCTTCATCGGAAACTACCTACAGCTGAACACTGAGCAGATGTACAACTCCCTCATGAAGGTGTCTCTAGGCAGGGAGATGGTGGGGTGGGGGAGGACAGGGTGCACAGCTTGGTGGGGACTTTTTGGCAGGGGATGAATCAGGCTGAATCAGAGTTTGGGAATGGGGAGTTCTGAAGGTTCAGCATGGTCCAAGACAAGAAAGGCCAGATCTTGGGATGTCCAGCCAGTCCCCTTGACTGTCAGAACCTGGAGATAATGCATCCCAGTACATGATTTCTGGGTCCTGAGCTAGTTCAGGGTTGCTCCCTCTAACCACTCCCACCCACATCCATCAGATCGGAGAGAGCTATGGCTCTGTGTTCACTGTCCACCTGGGGTCCCGGAGGGTCGTGGTGCTGTGTGGCTACGATGCTGTAAAGGAGGCTCTGGTGGACCAGGCTGAAGAATTCAGCGGGCGAGGCGAGCAGGCCACCTTCGACTGGCTCTTCAAAGGCTATGGTGAGGGGGACCCCAGGTGGAGGAATGTGGTCAGACAGACTCGATGGCCTGTTGTTGCGGTCCCCCACCCCAACTCACCTGCCCACTCAAGGCAGTGCAGAGCCCTTTGTCTGGTCTTCTCCTCCAATCCCTGTTTGTGGTTGCCTGTCCCTGCACCTGTTTCTTACCTGCCTTAGGAGCTGTGTCCAGATTTCTCTGCCTCCCTCAGCCCCATCTCCTTGTTCCCTCTCAGTAGTTATTTATTCTGTGTCTATATTGCTCCATCTCTTCTTAGAATCTCCTGGGATTTCTGTTTTAGAACCCTCGTCTTTTGTCTCCATTTTTCTTGTCTTTTTGCCATTCTCGGCATCTGTGCTTCCCTAGGTTTTTCTCCCTCCCTTTCTTCTTCTTCTGTCTAAAATCTCACGTTATTTCTACTTCAAAATCCCCATGCCTTCAACTCCTGGTAACAATCTCTTCTTTTTCTGAACCCTCTCTATCCTCTTAATTGGTCTCCCCTCTCCAGCTGTTTTAGAATTGTTCACAATTTTTGTTTCGACCTCACAGACCTTTGCTGTCCTTCTTGTCTTCCTTTTGTCCTCTGCCTGTGTTCTCCCTCCCTCAGCCCCCCCCCACTTGTCTCCATTCAGGTGGTCCT